CTGAAATAAAAACTGAAAATGATGGAAATGCTCAGCAGGTTGAGCAGCATCTTTGAAGGGAAAAACAGAGCTCATGAATTCTGAGGAGAAATCAGTTACCTTAGACATTAACTCCGGTTCTTTCCATGGAAGCTAATGAATATTACTGGACATTCTCCGACTTATTGAAAATGAAGAATTAAGAAAACCTGTTTATGTCTGAAATAAGACATTCCTCTCCTCTAATACAAGCTAAAATACGCTAAATAGAAGTGATCACAATATGCTGTAAGTGCCTCAGATCCATTGAATAACACATGGGAGGGAAGTGACAGTTGAGAGATGATTCATATTTTCAAAGAATGTGCTTTGTATTTGCTCAGTAATCAAAATTTATGCCACTATGTTATTAGAAGGAATGTATCAGGTATGTATCTATGTCTGAGTCAGTGCAACACTTACTGAAATTTTGAGCTGAACTCAGTTGAGAAGGAAGTGAGATCATTTCTCAGTGCAAGAGAAAAAGAAGAAAAAAAAATCCTACTATAGATTCCAGGGATGCCTTACGCATGGAAGAGTCTTGCAGCCAATATTTCGTCTCAAATTCCCTTTGTACCTGATTCCATCTTTTAAAAAGAACTCATTGTTATTGAAAGCAAAAACACAAGTCTAGAATTATCAATTAAGAAACCGAACAATGTAGGGATACATCAGAATATTTCATTATCCGACCTACTGTTCCTTGTCTTTGTTTGCACATTCTATTAGAAATGCCACAGTGTCTCCTATTAGTTGACGGGGGTCAGTTATCTGGATGGCTGATTGCAATGCAGAGTTCATTTCCTGCATTAGCTGAGGTTACCATGGACTCTCTTTCACAATCTCTCCCGTCATCTGAGGTGTGGTGACCTTCAGGTTAAACTGCCACCAGTCATCTCTTTCAAATGAGAGAGCAGCCCTATGGTCTGGTAAGACTATGGTGACTTTACTGCTTAGTCACCAATCAGCACAAGTTCAGCACCTTGCCTCCCAGTTTTCCCTTCCTCCGTCTGAATGTTTCAAACCTAAGGCTGGTTTTAAACCTTACTGTCCCCAATCTTTCACCTTCTGTTGCAATGTTTTAGTTTGCTGATGCCTCTAACTCTTGAGTTTTGACTTCTCATTGGAGTGCTCAGTCACAAGTCATCACCTGAAAGGTTTACAAAGATTTCCAGCCTTCCTGACCAATGGGACATTGACCCTTCTGAGCATTGAGCAGATCAGTAATAGTGTTCTCAAATCCTGAAGAAAGCTTTCTCTCTGCTCCTACGATATAGTATGCCAGCCTTGCCTCAGAAGATACTGTCTGTAAATATTCATTCATTTCTGCCATAGCTGTCGGGGGGAGGGAGGGGGGCGTGGGGGTTGGCATTCTCCCACTTCCTCTCAAGACTTGTTCAGTCCATGTCTCAATAATATCGACCCAATTGATTCCTCATCTTCCTGTTTTATACTCCCAATTTATTTTTCAACCAAGGACAAGGTTGGGACAAGGCTGCGAGCTTAGTCTATAACGTCTGCACTTGTCTTCTGTTCTCTCTCTGTGATTAGCCACTCTTTTGATTCCTGAATTTAGTCTCCCGGCCAACCCCATTCATTCATCTTTCTCTCCAGCCAGTGAGTTCTAAGTAACTCCTGCCATACTCTCATTTCAAAATCTGCTGTCCTTTTCTCATCCTTTTTCTTCAAATGGAGCTATCTTCCCTGGAGCGTCAGAGGCTGAGGGGTGACTGTACAGAAGTTTATAAAATCATAAGGGACATGGATGGAGTGAATAGCCAAAGTCTTTTTCCCAGGATAGAGGAGTCCAAAACTAGAGGGCATAGGTTTAAGGTGAGAGGGGCAAGATTTAAAAGGGACCCAAGGGGTAACTATTTCATGCGTGTATGGAATGAGCTGCCAGAGGAGGTGGTGGAGGCTGTTACAATTACAACATTTAAAAGGCATCTGGATGGATACATGAATTGGAAGGGTTTAGAGGGATATGAGCCAAATGCTGGCAAATGGGTCTAGATTAATTTAGGACATCTGGTCAGCATGGACGAGTTAGACCAAAGGGTCTGTTTCCATGCTGTACATCTCTATGACTCTCTAAACATTGCACTGTAGGGCACAACACTCCACACTAGTGACAGATTCAATGTCTATCTCAGATTCACGTTGATGCATTTGGATTTCAAAATGCCACTTCAGTCACTGGTCATTCCTATTGCTGGAGACAATCAAATTTGGATTCCATTCTTGCTCTTTGTTGTTTTTCATTGAACCTAGGGAACTGAATTTGTTAAAAACCGAAAGAACTGCGGATGCTGTGAATCGGGAACAGAAGTTGCTGGAAAAGCTCAGCAGGTCTGGCAGCATCTGTGAAGGAAAAAAATCAGAGTTAACATTTCGGGTCCGGTGACCCTTCTGCAGAACTGAATTTGTTCACTGCCTCACTTTCAGCAACTTCTGGACCATCCCCTACTGTAACAGTGTAGCGTTTGTCCATTTATCACTTTTACAATCCTGTGATTGCCAGTTTAGGGCTAATTTGGGGACAGTTCCAGATGTTCTTAGCATTATTAGGAATTGGATTAGAAGTTTTGGACTCATCTCAATCAGAATTGTTATGGGCAGCAATGCAAAGACACTTTCAGTTTCTGGTTCTTTTGAAGTAATGAAACTTTTAGATATTGTTCAGTCTATAAGTGATAAGGGTGTATAATTTTAGTGTTAGCATGAGGTATTTTCACTTCTTATCCGAGCATCCCATACACTTGATACATAAACCCATACTAATTTTCCAACCACTATTTTCTGCTCTAAGTGCCGCATTCCTAATGTCTACCATGGATAGTCATTGTGTTCCTCCAGGGGAGAGGGCAAACAAAGTGAGAGGCTCACAGTGTTATGCTCACATTGCTCCCAATGTCGCTGTTGCACAGCTTTGTATAATCACGCTCTCACTGAGGAGTTGGCCCTCATGTGGCTCACAGCATAGCTCCCAGAATTATCATCATTTGGCTACAGTAAAGTAGTTACCACTTGTAAGCACCTGCGCCAAGTGAGTTACTGTGGTGAGATATCGGATCACGAGTATCGCAATCGTGACCAATTCCATCAACAAACAAAGTGGAGGCTGTCGGGAGGGGGTTCCTTCCCACCTCAGTCTCTCCTGTGCCCAAGGACAACCAACAAAGGCAATACAGAAGGGATTACACGCGGCCATCGACCTCCCCTCTCCTCACTGTACAACACCTCATTCAGTAAAAGCAGTGATTTCTGGATACTTCTTTCATTCTAGTCTACTGCATTCACTATTCACAGTGTGGTCTTGCCCAGAAGATGGCATCAGAGTTTGTATGCCCGTGGGACACATTGGAATTTTTAAAATGGAGGGTGAGTAGGGAGAATTGGCAAACCTGCATGCTTTCAATGAACTTGCTGTTAAGTTTGTTGATTACCTTGTTAACAGGCTGGACAGGACCAGAATCAAACTTTCACTCAGACAAATGGAAAGATTGGTGAAATAGGATTTCACAGCAGGTGTAGGCTACTCAGCTCTTAAGTCTCCTCCACCATTCAGGATGTGATTTTGGTTTCCGTCCTGTTTTCCTGTCTATTCCTGCACCTGCCCCCAACCCTCAACCCCCACCATACCCCTCTCCAACCCTGGTCAAACATCTAACTCAGCATTAAATTCATTTCATAACCTAGACAGCTCCTGACACTGTCTGTCCTTCAAAAATCCACGCACCACAGCTAGTTCCCAAGGCAGCTACAGTCACCAATAACTAGACACTGACCTCTCATCCAGCTCTAATGGAGGCCCACGCCTTTATGATTTATAATGCCACTGGTCCAGATCGAATGACGTGGGGATGGGACCTGGAAGTGATCCAGATGTTGGGCTCCTGAAACTCTCGCCCACAACAATCCCAGCTCAGGCATCACTGTTAAAGAATGAATGATGAAGACCCAAACGTTTGGCTTGGGTGGAGAGGGGATGTTGAGGTGCGCAGCCTCCGGGATTGGGTTAGGAATCCCTGAACAGTTTTAACACTACATGGGTTTCCCTGAACAGGAGAAAGTGATGAGACTAAAATCCCTAATCACTTTTAAAAGAGGTGTAGATAAATATTTGAAAAACAAAACCTACACTTGAGAGCCCCAAGGCCTGCAGGGCTGAACACACTAGTAATCGATGTTGTATCATTTCTTTGAACCAGGAACAATCTCAACTTTGTTTTTTGAATCCCAGGACTGGAATTCATTGGGTCCACTCTAAAGTGACCACCCTGGCATTTTTCATTGCATGTGAGGTGCTGCTTCTATTGTGAGAAAATGAATTATGGCTTATGATTCTGGTTTGTTAACAACCTCTCCCTTCCCCCACATTCCCGGCACATCTTTGAGCACATGTGTTCTGAATAAACCTTAGGTTTCCAATTATTTACAATCAAAGTCAGGAAAGCCATTAACAGGATGAAGAGTTAAGACACCCAGAGCAGGGAATAGCTGCAGCTGGGAAAGAGATTTAAAGACTATTAAATATCAGATGTTAGCACACTTGTCCTACTCCTGCAGTCTGTGTGGGCGACTGCGAACACAAATAATGTTGAATGAAGCTCAATTATGCTTCTGTAGGAGAAGCTAAAGCCTACTGAGAAAGCAGGTTTTTGTACTCTAACCCAGCTCAGCCTGCATATCATTTCCCTTACTTGACAAACTTCTCCCCATTTGCTCCCATTGCCTTGTTTCTGGACTCATCGACATGCTGAGACACAGGAACTTTTCCCATGTCCAACCTTCGAGCTCCTAAAACTCCAGTCTTAAATCCACAGGGAGATGAGCACATCTCAATCCCAACTCTAGGTTTCAGTCCCAAGTACACCCAGATGTGACAACTTTCCATTTGCTGTAAACAGCCACCATCATATGGCTTCTTGAGTGAGATTATTGATGAGGTATAGGGGGCTGATATAGACACTGTCTGGAAATTGGATTAGAGATTTATTAACCCCTCTTCATACAGCGCTATAAAGTTTTCCATTTGTATCAAAATTGTCTGCTAATTGTCTGAAGAAGAAGTGGGACTTTAGTGTCATCTGTCACTATCATCAGTCTGATGAGGGATGTGGTGTGGATGGTTAGTATTGATTAGAAACGAGACCAGCTATGCAAATACTGTGGCTGCAAGAACAGTTCAGATGTTGGCAATTCTGCAACAAGTAACTCACCTTCTGACTCCCCAAAGCCTATCCACCATCTCCAATTCAGGAGTGTGATGAAATACTGCCCATTTGCCTGGATGGGTGCAGCTCCAACAACATTCAAGCAATTAGATACCGTCCAGGACAAAGCAACCTAATGACTGGCACCACATCCAATATTTTCAACATTTACTCCCTCTCCCAACCATGCACTGTGGCAACACAGTGTCCCACATACAAGATGCACTGCAGCAACTGACAAAGAATCTCCGACAGCACCTTCCAGTCCAGTGACCCCTTCCAACTAGAAGTACAAGGAAAGCAGATACATGGGAACATCACAACAACAAGCTCCCCTCCGAGCCACACGCCACTCTGAGTTGGAACAATGTCACTCTTCCGTCGCTGTTGCTGGGTCAAAATCCGATAACGCTTTCCCTAATGGATTGTAGCTGTACCTACACCACATGGATTGCAGTGGTTCAAAAAGGCAGCTCAGCAGCAACTTTTCCATGGCAATGAAAGACAGGATTAAATGCCAGCCTGGCCAGTGATGCCCACATCCTATGAATGAATAATTAAAATGTACAAGTCAGGGATGTGATGTTCTTGTTTCTCCTCTTGGCTCACTGGCTGATTTGATCAGCTGCTGACTTTAAGGAACAGCATACCACGTGCTAACACAAGGGGAGAATCCAGGCTTTGTGACGCCGAATGCAACTGCTCTTCACTTCCACGTTTTACGTGAGTAATGAAACACTGTCTTCTCTAATCATATCTTCTTTCCTGTGCTTTGGCAGTTAATCATGCAATCCGTTAAAAATATCAGCAAAAAATGTTGAAACTATGGACCTCTTAAGAGTTGCTATCTTTGGATGAAAAATTTTGTCAGGCCTTTTTTTTTTAAAAAGAATGAAAATTGCTTCACATACAATACTAATTTGAAAATCAACATGATGTCGTGATAGACACTCATTGCTGTACTTCCCACCTAAATAAAAACGATCAAGTCCTCTTCTTAAATCCATGATGTGGAGGTGCCGGTATTGGACCGGGGTGGCCAAAGTCAGAAGTCACATGACGCCAAGTTATGGTCCAACAGGTTTATTTGAAATCACAAGCTCTCGGAGCGCTCCAAAAGCTTGTGATTCCAAATAATGTTGGATTATAGTGTCGTGTGACTTCTGACCTAAATCCATGGCGTCAGATCACTATTATGGTCCGGTCTCCAACAATCAAGGCCTAGATTTTGGACTGCAAGGAGCTTGCCGGAATTTTCTTAGTTTGTTCTTTACTATCTTCTCCAAGGCAATGAGAAATGGCCCACAAATGCTGACCTGGCCAGTGTTGTCAAAATCTCATGAATAAATTTTTTAAAAATCTTGTTTCTTTAGGTCAAGTACAAATGTCACTGTTTTATGTTTCAACAGGTGAATCAGCTGAGGGGTCAGCTTTGGGTTCTCATATCTACCATACTTGTAAGGTCAGGGCTATTGTGCAGCATTCCGGGAATGGTGAGAAGCCTGTGCCAGCAACGTCCAGGCTTTCAAGGGCAATATGTGTGTGTGATCCATGGCATCTCTGAACCACGTCAATGTTTCAAACCCAAGTTTACATCAATCTGAAGTTGCTGATATTTAGGCTGTTCAACAATGAGGCAACTTTACTTTGGTCAATCCTTGATTGATAAGGGAGTCAAAGAGGTTCGGGGATAAACAGGAAAATGACGTTGAGGCCATAAACAGATCAGCTACAATCCTATCAAAATGGCACAGCAGGGTTGAATGGCCTATTCCTGTACCTAATGTGTATTTAAAAACATACTAAAAGCTATTCATTGTAAACCTCCAGGCTGAAGAACAACCATGTGCACAAGGAGACCAGAACATCTTCAGAGTGCCAAGTTTCTTTGGTCCATATATAACGTGGAATCCCTACAATGCAGATAGAGGCCATTCAGCCCATCAAGTCTGCACTGACCCTCCAAAAAGCATCCCATCTACGCTCACTCCAGCCCCATAACTCCAAATTTCCCATGGCTAATCCACCTAGCCTACACATCCCTGGACACTGTGGGCAATTTAGCATGGCCAATCCACCCTAACCTGCACATCTTTCGCTTAACCCTTGAACTGAGATTGTGACAAAGAAGTGGGAGATCAAGAAACTACGGAGCTCAAGTGAAGCAATGAAGACAGTTTCTCTTTGTTTCACCTATCCTCCCCTTTCTCAGCTAGCTATAAAAATGAGAAGCAATTGGTGGAGAGGCAAGAAAAACGTGGGAACAGATCAAGTGCAGTGACAAGGAAGGAAGGAAAGATCTGGTAGGGTTTTTATGTCATTCTGCTTCTGAACCAACAATTCTGAGAAATTATCTCCATTCCTGCTTTATAGCTGAGAAACAGGTTGTGTAAATGAAACACATCAATGAGCAGAGGGATTAAAGTGGCAATGGGAGATATCATAACTACAGAAATAGCTTACGCTGAGCCAAAAGGCTACTAACATATTACGTATTCATTTGTAACAATGACCCATTTATCTATAGCAACGTTTCACGGGGGAGCCTCAGCTTAACAACTACTGACCACGCCTTGGCTCTAAAGGAGAAAAGTCTAGAACTGACTCGCGAATTGGTGACTCCGGGTCCCGTTCCCAGTGATGAAGAACGCTGCAATGTTTCTCATACGGCGTCCCCATGTGAACGCTGAGGCGTGTGGCACCTTCCGGAAGGTGGTCGTGCAGTTTGTGGAAATAGTCACCAGCTGATCCTTTAGGATCACCGATTCCCAGAAGGCCATAGCGATGTTCATGAGGGCCAGTGCTACCACCCAGGACTCACTGCTGAGAATGGCTAGGACCGTTTCCAAGTTCAGATTGTATTGAAGGTGTAGGTACCAGACAGCTGATGCTGCAAAGGTCAGGTGACAGACAAAGACCTCCATGAGGAACAGATTGAAGAGTCGGCGATTATTTTTGGCCACGCATTTCATGAGGAAAAGACAATGATGGTCAAAGCTCACCAAGCACATGTTGCACAGTCTACAGTGCTTCGCTTGCTCTGGTTGAATAATCTAAAGGAACAAACAAACAGCATTTAGGAACAAAAATGGCGCCTACTCCCTCCTCACTCCCAAGTTTAATGAACCTTCCGAGTGACTGTTCTGATTGGATGGATTTCATCACATGATCTTCATCCAGCTGCCTTGTCCAATCAAACATCTGGCTCCCATCTCTAACAATTTTTAATGACTAAAGTTCTCACAGAAGATTACGGAAAAAGATATATTTCGTTAATGCCCTAAAGATGCTCTTCCTGGCTGGCTTGCAGCAGATATCAAGGCATGCATCTCAAAAATTTGACAGTCTCCATGACAAACATGGAAGGTTGCACCAAACGATGCGGGGTAAACACATTCCCGCTCACCCTCAGCTTTTAGCCAAAGGTTAGTGCTGTTTGTAAGGAAGCCTTGTTCCCCTCCTTATGAGCAGCGGCGAGTTGATTTGAACTGGGATGGGAACAAGAGTGTCAGGGATCAAAACGATGACTCACCAGAATGTTGGGAACAGTTAGTGTTGGGTTAGGAACGGTTGGCTATAGTGGCGGGAAGCCATATTAAAGCCAGTGGGAATGATAAGGTCAGAGAGCAGGAGATCAGGATGACCCTCAGCTTAAGGCAAGTGTAATATCATATCATGAATCCCTACAGTGTAGAAACAGGCCATTCAGCCCACTGAGTTTGCACCGACCCTCCAAAGACCATCCCACCCTATTTGAGATATAAGGAGAGGCTGCATAGACAAGGACTCAAGAGGCTGAGGGGTGACCTTATAGAGGTTTATAAAATCATGAGGGGTACAGATAAGGTGAAGAGCCAAGGTCTTTTGCCATGGGTAGGGGAGTCCAAAACTAGAAGGCATAGGTTTAAGGTGAGAGGGGAAAGATTTAAAAGGGACCTGAGGGGCAACTTTTTCACGCGGACAGAGGTGCATATATGGAACGAGCTGCCAGAGGAAGTGGTAGATGCAGGTGTAATTACAACATTCAGGAAGAGGAATCCCCAAATATACGCTGGTGTGGGAGTGGGCTCTTGTGGTGCAGTGGTAGCATCCCTACCTCTGAGCCAAGAGACTCAGATTCAAGTCCCAACTGCTCTAGTTGTGAAATAACATCTCTGAACAGGAAAAGCTGTGCTGGTGTAAGGAAAGTCCAGGTTGACATCTAGGGCAGAGAGAGGTGGTCTCACTGTCTCTCTTTAAACCCCCTCCCCTTAAGCAATCCTCACGATGCCGCATCTCTTGGGGTTTACTGGGATTTGGCACCAAGGGAAGCCCCCACCTGGCAGCTTTGCCTAAAACCTATCATCAGGCCCTACTCCTCGAAGCCTCAGTCCATTCCACAGCCAATCTATCACAAAGCTCATCACAGCGACACGGCTGGTGACAGACAGAAGCTTTAGCACCAAATTTAAAGTAAAAAGTGGGGGATTGGAGGAAAAACTTCTTTCACCAGAGGGTTGATGGCAGGCAATGGGAGGATAGTTGAGACGGCTAATCTCTCAACCTTTAAAAAGTTGGTGAAACAAACAGGGGCAGGACTTATACAATTAACGGTAGGGCCCTGGGTAATGTTGTAGAACAGGGAGACCTAGGGGTTCAGGTACAAAATGCTTTGAAATCTGCGTCACAGATAGACAGGGTGGTTGAGAAGACATTTAGCATGCTTGCCTTCATTGCTCAGACATTTGAGTATAGGGTTTGGGATGTCATGTTGCAGTTGTACAGGACATTGGTCAGGCCTCTTCTGGAGTACTGTGTCCAGTTCTGGTTGCCCTGCAATAGGAAGAATGTTATTAAATTGGATAGGGTTCAGAAAAGATTTACCAGAATGTTGTCAGGAATGGAAGGTTTGAGTTATAACAACAGGGTGGATCCTCTTTCACTGGAGCATAGAAGGTTGAGGGATGACTTTATAGAGGTTTATAAAATCACGAGAGTCATAAATAAGATGACTAGCAAGGTTCTTTTCCCTAGGGTGTGGGAGTTCAAAATTAGGGGGCATATTTTTAAGATGAGTGAAGAAAGATTTAAAAAGGACATGAGGGGCACAGAGCAATTTCTGTGTGGAATGAACTTTCAGGGAAAGTGGTGGGTGCAGATACAGCTGCAACATTTAAAAGACATTTGGATAAGTACATGAATAGGAAAGGTTTGGAGGGATATGTGCCAAACGCAGGCAAGTGGGATGAGTTTAGTTTGGGAACATGGTGGGCATAGAATAGTTGGACTGAAGGGTCTGGTTCTTTGTTGTACGACTCTAAGTAAGTGGACGAGCACTTGAACTGTCATAACCTTTGAGGCTATGGGCCCAGTGCGGCTAAGCAGGACGAGTCGCCTATTTTTGGCAGTACTGACTCAAAGGGCATCTTCTGTACTGTGTGATTCTAAGCTCATATTCTATCCTCTGAATGAGAGAGGGGTTCAATTTTGAAACAAATGGAACAGACGTCAGTGTGTCGCACAGCGGCGTCAGTATAACTCGCAAAATGTAACTGCCTTTACCTCACAGTAGATGCAGAATCTGGATGGATTCTCATTTGCTTCGATAAGCTCGGTGATGGTTACATACTCGGCTTTGCAGCTAGTTTCCTGCAGCTTCCCCGGGTCCCTGGTTAACATCTCCTTGAACATCCACAGCAACAGGGTGGCCAGCAGTGTCATGCAACACAGCAGGAGGTATGCAGGCCACAGGCATGTTATGAGTCAAGGAATCATCTCTCATTGGCCCACACTGATGGGATGGCTTTACCCAGGGGCATCAATGCACAAACGTATCCCACAGAGGTGTGCTGGCCAACATTTTTCTCTCGACCAACACCTAAAGTAGATTAAGTCAGAAGTCACACGACACCAGGTTATAGTCCAACAGGTTTATTTAAAAATCACAAACAAAATAAACCTGTTGGACCATAACCTGGTGTCATGTGACTTCTGACCTTGTCCATCCCTGTCTAACACCGGCACCTCCGCTTCATGGCTACCATAAAGTAGATTATTCATCACTTTTTCACGGATGTGGGGATTTGTGTTTTGTAACTGTCCATCCCTAACTGGCCCTTGAAACTCTGCAGTCTGTGTGGTGAAGGTACACCTAGTGCCGTTAGCTCAGTTGGCCGAATGGCTGGTTTGTGACAAAGACTGATGGCAACAGTGTGGGTTCAATTCCTCCTTCAGCTGAAGTCACCATGAAGGACTCTCCTTTTCAACCTCTCCCCTCGCCTGAGGCGTTAAATGACCACCAGCCATCTCTCTCTAATGAGAGATTGGTCTTCTAGTGACTTTACCTTTATCTTACAGTGTTGTTTGGAAGAAAGTGCTGCAAATACTTAGCTAGTCAAACAGAGAGAAAAACCAAGTCAACGTTTCAGCTCTGTGACCTTTCAGAGATCTGTAAGGTTAACTCCTTTCTCTCTCCACAGATGTTGCTAGACCACCTGAGTATTTCCAGCTTCTGTTGCTTACTGTTCCCATACCCTGTAAGCATGGGACCTTATACATTGCATTAGTATCTGCACCAAGTTATCTGCTTGGTATTTTGTTGCCTCTTGTGGGGACTTGCTATGCACAAATTTCCTCCAATATAGCAGTGACCATGCTTCAGAAGTATTTCATGAGGTATGAAAGTTTTAAGGTTGTTAAAAGTTACTTTAACAAAAAAAGTAAGTTATTTCCTTCAATGAAACCAAAATGCTGTATTGATCAGTGACACAAGTGAAGCAGCCAATGACCCAAAGATTTGTTCAGATGGGGCAGTTTGGAGCTGGAAAGACAGAAGGAATTGGAAGGGAATTACACAGAATACAGACCCTGAGGTGGCAGTGAGAGGTGAATATTGTCATTCAATCAGTTTGATAGATGTATATATAGAGAGAGCAAGAGTGGGGTAGGAAATGGAGTGAAAGAAAGTGAGAGAAATTGTGAGAGATTAGAGAGAGTGAGAGAGGGAAAGCGTGAGAGATTAGAAAGAGAGGGAAAGTGTGAGAGGAGAGAGAGAGAGAGAAAACAAGTGAGAGGAGAGAGAGAGAAAGTAAATGAGAGGAGAGAGACAGAAAGAAAGAAAGTGAGAGGAGAGAGAAAGAGAAAGAAAGTGAGAGGAGAGAGACAGAAAGTGAGAGAGAGGGACAGAAAGAGACAAGGAAAGTGATAGAGGGAGAGTTAGAGAGAATAAGAGGGAAAAAGTGAGAAAGAGAGACAGACAGTGAGAGGAGAGAGAGAGAGTGAGAGAGAGAGTGGGGGAGAGACAGTGGGGGGAGACAGTAAGAAAGTGAGAGGAGAGAGAGAGAAAGTGAGAGAGAGGGAGAGAAAGAAACAAAGAAAGTGAGAGGGAGAGAAAGAGACAAAGAAAGTGAGAGAGAGAGAGAGAAGGTGAAGTAGGACAGGAGCAAGAAAGGGAGAACCCAGTTACTTTGTTTTTGTATTTACAAATTTTCCAAATATGTAAGCTATTTGAAACCACCATTTTTTAAAAATGGGATTCAGGGTGTGAAGTTTCTAATTTCAGTTAGTGTTGAATAACACAACGGCAGAAACTAAACCTGTTCGCAAAATAGAATGACTGTGAAACCTATACATCAGTCATCTCAAGGAAAATCTAGTAATCCACGTACATGCAGCAAAAAGGTTACTGACCCATCACGTTACAAGTCTGTTATAAACAATGGTGTGCGTAAAGGATATCTGGTAGGATCTTGCAATAGAAGCAGTACAAAGAATGAAAGATCCCAGCAGCAAAGGTGCCAAGGTACATCGGATTTGGTAACCTGTGACAGGGAAAAGAAAGACAAAGACAGAGTTAAGCTGTACACCTGATCTCGATTCTCAACACCCATGCTTCCCTTAACCTTGAGGCACAAGTGCAATATCTTTGTCTGTGCCTTTTTTTTTAATTAGAAAAGTGAGAAACTAGCCCTCAGGCCAGGATATAGGGTCTGAAACCTGACTACCTTGTTCGCTAACTTTAACAGGCCACTGTCTTTAGGCAGAAACTTGACAACCTACATTTATTTTAAGAGGATCGTATGCATTTTCAGTTCATATTGCACAATAATGGATGAGTAACATGATGATCCCTTTATGTGAAGCCCATTACACTGGAGATAAATAAATAAAAAGTTTGCCTGATTTTGTTTTCCTCTGAAGGCAACGCATCTTCAAGAAAATACTGCATAGCCCAGAAAGCCAGGTGAAGGTGATATTGGAATAAATTTTTACTCAAATTTATATTTATTTTAAGTGAAAAGTAATAAGCATGTGGCCCCTAACCCAATCAAGCAATTTCATTATCTCCTTATATGTGCACAAGTCTCAATTAATGCCCTCAACATGCATTCAATTAGCACAACTGTTGTACAATTAACAGAGCCTGCTACTGGGTCATATTCTCAACATAGAAAGCTGTTGATTTGCAATTTAGAGTCATAGACATGTACACCACGAAACAGACTCTTGGGTCCAACTCATCCATGCCGACCACATATCCTAAATTAATCTAGTCCCATTTGCCAGCATTTGGCCCATATCCATCTAAATCCTTCCTATTCATATACCCATCTAAGAGCCTTTTAAATTTTGTCATTTGATCATTGCTTTACCGAAACTAACATGGTGGCTGGTTTGCCTTAACAGGAAGGGTGAAGCTGTGCGTGATTTGTGTTCTAAAATGTTGGCCAGAAGCCCAAAGAGTGAGAGTGCGAGAGCGCGAGAGAGAGAGAGCTAGTGTGTGTGTGTGTGTGTGTGTGTGTGTGTGTGTGTGTGGGGTTAACAGTGAGTGAAAGGCAGTGTGCCCAACTGATGGTGCATTGGGTTTTGCGCACTAACTTGCATGTAAGTGCGGCAATGGTTGGGTCAAGTTTGCTGTGAAGCATCTGCATTGGAATATCTCGGCAACCTCTCCAAGAATGACAATGGACACAGGGCAAAGTGTCAGAAGATACCACTACCCATGTAATCACTGCCTGGTGAGAGTCTAACAGGGGCTGCAGGCAGGTCAGAGGACTAAAACTGGCCAAGAACCACCAAGAGGGAAATACAATCACCCAAAAGTGTTGTGCCATTTATGGATCATTGGGCTCAGCACTGCCACCATTGGCGAAACCGGGGAAGTGCAATACGACGGGAATCACAAAGCAGTATCAAAAACAGAAAATGATAATATTTTAACTAATTCAAGATCTTTCAGCAGCATTTCATTACATGACTCGGGAGTCATTGCTATTCTCAGATTCTCCACAGGGCTGTGAAAAGCAGAATGCCACCAACAACCACTATTTCAAGTTGCTAAATGCACTGGGGTAGTAACCCTAACCCTAATCCTAACCATGCTTTGTGCAGGATTCCCTGATTCCAGTCAATGGTTGGGAGAGGAGCTGCAGAATACTGGGCTGGGAAATAGAATGAGAACTGTGCATGTACCAGCAGTAGTTCTTGCTCCTGATCACCATCTGCTGGCTACTTCTGGAAAGTACAGACCACAAGAAAGGACATTTTATTCTGGTTCATGCTGGTCCTAGGTTCAAGTTGCTAAATTCCTCGGGGTTGCCCTGAGATGCCCAGGAATTGAAGATTCATTCTGGGAGAAAACTGGTTTTAAAGCAAAATATGGCTATCGTATCCACTTGTAATTTAAACTTCACATCTCCTTTAAACATCTCCCCCACCTTAAAACTACATCCTGTACTATTTGATATTAAAAAATTGCATCTTTTTCTTTTGCACTTCATTCAGTATTTCTGCATAACTTGAGTAATATGGTGTCTATAACTGAGTCCAGTGCAGTTTAGGTGTCAATATGGACTGACACATAAATTCAGTATTTACTACCTGAGTTGCAGCATTTTTAGTGTCAGTTTGACAACTTTTTTTCCTGCAATCGTACCGCTTTGCTGCAGAATTAATTTGATGACCATCACACTATTCCTGATAATCTGGCTCAGTGTGTAATATTACTCAATAAACCAATCATCATGTGAATTCACTACTTTCAAATGTGACCCTATGCTGCACTTCCTCTGTTTTGCCAATGTGGCAGTGCTGAGCCCAATGATCTATTAAACAGTCAGAGGATTTCAGCAATTGCATTTCCCTTTTCATGGTTTCATTTTAGATTTTTGGGCGCTGCTTAATACATCTTCTCAAGTGTAAGAAATTAAGTTGGCGGATCACAGCACTAGGGTGATAATTTCTGAGATTCCTCCCCAGTCTCTCAGGGAGTCTGTGCTCTGGCTTCCAGTCCAACAGCAACAGAGATTGTAACATAGGCTAGAAAGCAAATTACTGCAGATGCTGGAGTCTGTACTGAAAACAACAAATGCTGGCGATCACAGCAGGTCAGGCAGCATCCATGGAAAGAACGCAAGCTAACATCTCGAGTCTAGATGACTCATCAGGTGATTCTTCATCTAGATGACTCTTCATGTCAGCTCTGATAAAGAGTCATCTAGACTCAAAACGTGAGCTTGCTCTCTCTCTATAGAAAGCAGTCGGCTGTGAGCCTACACATGGCTAGATAGGTCATTGAGAAATTGCCGTGGCAACCAGCGTTACATTGAGGTGATGATACAAGTATTTCACAATGTAGTTCTGAAATCATAGAATTTGGCCCAACAAATCCACACCGACCCTCCAAACAGCATCCCACCCAGACCCCACACCCCTAGTCTGATCCCTGTAAACCTGCATTTCCCATGGCTATTTCACCTAGTCTGCTCATCCCTGGACACTACGGGCAATTTAGCATGGCCAATCCATCTAACCTGTACATCTTTGGACTATGGGAGGAAACTGGAGCACCTGGAGGAAACCCACACAGACACAGAGAAAATGTGCAAACTCCACACAGACAGTTGCCCAAGGTTGGAATTGAACCCGGGTCCCTTGTGCTGTGAGGCAGCAGTGCTAACTACTGTGCTGCCCCTCATTTAAAAAAAAAATGAACTGCAAAATTATAAATACTTTAACATACTTATAATGTAAATCAAAATGTGGGTCTCCTTAATTTAAAGAGTAGAAAGGAAAGGTCTCCAGCTCTTTATCTTTCATGTTAAATCCACAGTTCATTAAGTTAAATGATTGAAAATTCAGTCATTTATCTTTGTTTTAACTGGCACCTTATGAACCAGCATTTTTGATAAACTGGCAAAACCGATAAAACTCAAAGCCCACGATCTACTGCGTTGTCGGAGTATTTAAGTTGTGCATAAAATATAACAGTGATGTGTTCCCTCTGCATTACATTTCCATTAAATACTGTGTGTTTTTGTGTTGATTTTAGGAGGTGTGTTGATATTTTTACACAGATTTTTTGAGGGCTGTTGATGTCTGAAAGCTTCGCTTGGTCAGGGTTTACTGGGATTATGCATCCTTCTTGATTATCCGGAATATTTTATCCTACTCTCAAAGGGACTGGTTAATAAAATGTTTGCTGAACTATTTATGAGCTTTATGAACTAGGGGATCAAATGGTCTCATGAATTTGTTCTGTAGCCACTCCTTTGTGGAATTCTGACCCTGCTTTTTAATTCCTCCCCACAGTTACTTACTTACACAAAGAACAATGAATAATACAGCACAGGAACAGGCCCTTCAGCTCTCCAAGCCTGTGCTGACATAGTTTACCCTTCCACACTAAAACTGTCTTCAATTACAGGATCCATATCCCTCTATTCCCTTCCTACTTATGTACATGTCCAGGTGTTTCTTAAATGCTGCTATTGTGCCTGCTTCCATCACCTCCTCTGGCAGCACGTTCCAGGCACTCACCACGCTTTATGTAAAAAAAACTTTCCACTCTATCCATGCCATACATAATCTTGTAAACTTCTATCAACTCACCCCTTAAACTCCTGCGTTCCACTGAAAACAAATCCAGTCTATCCAACCTTTCTTCGTAGCTAAAATCCCCATACCAGGCAACATCTTGGTAACAAAAACAGAAATTGCTGAAAAAGCTCAGCAGGTCTGGCAGCACCTGTTAAGAAAAAAATCAGAGTTAACGTTTCAGGTCCAGTGACCCTTCCAGTTCTGATTAACTCTGATTTTCTCTTCACAGATGCTGCCAGACCTGCTGAGCTTTCTCAGCAACTTCTATTTCTGTTCCTGATTTACAGCATCTGTAGTTTTTTTTCGGTTTTTATTTAACATCCTGGTAAACCTTTTCTGTACCCTCTCCAAAGCATCCACGTCTTTCTGGTTGTGTGGTGATCAGAACTATATGCAATATTCCAAGTGTGGCCTAACTAAAGTTCTTTAAACCTGCAGCATAACTTGCCTACCCCTATACTCAATGCCCCTTCCAATTAAGGGAAGCATGCCATAGGCCTTTTTTAACTACCTTACCTACCTGCGCTGCCACCTTCAGTGATCTGTGAACCTGCACACCCAGATCCCTCTGCATATCAATACTCCTAAGGGTTCTGCCATTCAATGTATAATTCCCACTTGTACTTGATCTTCCAAAATGAATCACCTCACATTTGTCCGGGTTAAACTCGATCTGCCATTTTTCTGCCCATGCCTCCAACCGATCTATATCCTGCTGTATCCTCTGACAATCCCCCTCACTATCCGCAATTCCACCAATCTTTTATCATCTGCAAACCTACTAATTAGACGAGCAACATTTTCCTGCAAATCATTTATGCAGACCATGAACAGCAGACGTCTCAGCACTGATCCCTGTGGAATACCACTAGTCACAGCCCTCCATTCCGAAAAACTTCCCTGCACCGCTACCCTCCATCTCCCATGACTAAGCCAGTTCTGCATCCATCTTGCCCCGATACCATTAAATGTCACCTTTTCGTACCAGTCTGCCATGAGGGACCTTGTCAAAGGCTTTACTGAAGTCCATGCAGACAACATCAACCGCTTTTCCCTCAACAATCATTTTCATCACCTCCTGAAAAATCTCGATCCAGTTAATGAGGCATGACCTCTCATTCATAAAACCACGTTGTCTATTGCTAATAAGTCCATTTGCTTCTAAATGCATTGTCCCTGAGAATCATTTCCAATAATTTCCCTACCACCAACATGAGGCTCACAGGCCTGTTGTTTTGTGGGTTGTCCCTGCTACCCTTCCTAAACAGTGGGAGAACACTGGCTATTCTCCAGTCCTCTGGGACCTCACCTGGAGCCTAAGAGGATACAAAGATATCTGTCAATGCTCCAGCAATTTGTTCTCTTGCCTCCCTCAATATTCTGGGATAGATCCCATCAGTACCCGAGGATTTATCTACCTTAATACTTTTTAAGACATACAACACCTCTTCCTTTTTAATAGCAACTCATGTAATCAAGAGCCAAAACAAGTGTTAGGGACCAGACCAAACCCCATCAAGATATATTAAAAAGGTAGCCTAGACCCTAAACTTTCCTTATCTTAAAGGCAAGTGGTAAGCGGTGTGCTCCGGCTTAAATTCGATTGGTCAAGCTACCAGATTTGAAGCAAAGCATACTTTATTCGTACACTATCGTTAAAATACAACAAAAGAAAGAATTGGAATAACTTAACTGTAATGGAAAACTTAACAGAATAATAGATTTTTTAAAATTACTAAACAGTAACTGTTCCAATATAGTAAAATCCCATAAACACACCCTTGGAAAAGGCAAATTCTGGAATATAGATTGTCTCACATGCAATTCTACAGTCTTAGGGGGAAAAACATTGAGAGAAAACTCTGGGACAGAGAGTAGGAGGGAGTGATGTACTGCAGCTTCCAAACCCAGCTTCAAGACCCCAGCAACTGCTACTAAAAAACTAAAATTAAAAATTCTGGCTCAGTTGGAGTTTGACCCCACCCATTCAGGCTACTTCTATTGTTCCAACTTTAAAAAAAAACCCAAGGCCGGACAAGCTGTTATTTACTTTATTGGATTCAAATAGCTAGCTTGTTACCTCTGTCTTAAAACCCTTCTTCAACAAAAAAAAGGACAAAATACACCTCTCGAAGCCGTAGTATTTTCACACAAGCCCAGAATAAAGCTCTTCCTACCTGGAAAGGTGAGAAATGCGGTGGTACTGGAAAAAAACTGTTCTGCCAAGGACAGCAAAAGCAATTAGACTGAAAACTCCCCCATATTCTCCGAGGTAACTTGCGATGAGGAACACAACTGCACTCAGGACTCCTGGGAATAGCAGACAGCCATAGTACAGTCCTAAAGGTCAAAAGATATAGATAAGGCCCCATTGTTATTACCTGTTCGTGAATTTTATAGAGGCCACTTTAGAGCAAGGTATCTAAGCCAGCAGGAGGTGTAGCAACTTTGCAATGTGTTCCGAGTCGAATTGCTAATCCTGAGGCCTGAACTAATAACTCAACAACACAGGTTCAGATCACCCTATGATAGCTGGGGATAAATAAATTAAACTCAAAATTAAAAAAAAGCTAATGAACATGGTTGTTAAAGACTCTTCTTGGTACACGGATGTCCTTTAGGGAAGGAAGTAGAGCTGTTCAAGGTCATAGAATCCCTACAGTGCGGAAAGAGACCTTTTGGGCCATCAAGTGTGTGCTGACCCTCTGAAAAGCATCCCACCCAGACCACTCCCCTACCCTATCCCTGAAACCCTGAATTTTTCCATGGCTAATCCATCTAACGTGCACATCCCTGGACACTATGAGGCAATTTAGCATGGCCAAGCCACCTAAACCTGCACATCTTTGAACAGTGGGAGGAAACCAGAGCACCCAGAGGAAACCCACGCAGGCACAGAGAGAATGTGCAAACTCCACACAGAAGAAGCCCTCTGTCCCACTAAATCTGCACCAAACATAAATAATCTGCCACCCTCACCTGGTCTGGCCTACTTGTGACCCCAGACCCACAGCAAATGTGGTTGATTCTTAACTGCCCCTTCAGGCCAGCATTTCCCAATGTGCTGTGCACAAAACAGAAAATTCCACTCCCACACTGCGCCCACCCCTCAACAACAAACGGCCCCCTCACCCAACAAGACACTTCTTATTCTTTCACCATTCGCCTTAAATCTGCTATTTTCTGCCTGTTGCTGCTCCACTAGTGGAAACTCAGAAAGCTACAGTACTTATAGGCAGTAGGAACCGCAGATGCTGGAGAATCTGAGATAACAAGGTGTAGGGCTGGATGAACACAGCAGGCTAAGCAGTATCAGAGGAGCAGGAAGGCTGACGTTTCGGGTCTGGACCCTGGCACTCCCACCAAGAGGATTTGGATCTCTCACCTCATCATGCTCTGTTAGAGGAATCCCAATCCACCTAAAATACACTGAGGGTGAGAGTTTAGTCAGACACTTCTAAAGGAGCTCTGAGGAAGAACTGGTCAGCACATGTTGGTGGCCCAGGTAGAGGAGAAGAGAGATTTATTCCAAGAATCCTCTTTGTCTCTTAGTTGACATTGTGCTGTCAATCAATGCAGAGGGATGTGGTCCTGCCTCATGGGGACTGATCAGCGTAATACAACTGACAGAAATCTCTCTCACGTTTACCCATACTGCAACAGACGCTGAGATTAAATGTCTTTTGTTATAAGAATGGCTTGGAGCAAATTTAACACGAGCAGGCCCTACCTCTTCATTCTCTTTCTAAGCTTAGACACAAGATCTTTCCATGGTTAGATTTTCCTAGAGTAGAGTCACCAGAGACTGTAGCTCCAGTGATGTGACTCCATGCAACTATGGTCGACCTTTCTTTTTTAAATTAATTCATGGGACGAGGACATCACTGGCTAGGGCAGCATTTACTGTCCATCCCGAATTGCCCAGAGGGCAGTTAAGAGCCAAACATATTGCTGTGGGTCTGGAGTCACATGTAGACCAGGCTGGCTAAGGACGTGAGATCCCTTTCCTAAACGACATTAGTGAACTCAAGGGTTTTTCTGATAACCTTAATCGTAAGCATTAAGACATTTAATTCCAGACTTTGACTGAATTAAAATTCTACCATTTGCCACAGTGGGATTTGAACGAGGTCCTTGGAACATTACCCTAGGGCTCAGGGTTAACAGTCTAGTGATAGTACCACAAGACGATCACTAGTATCAGAATGATTGATAAGTCGGTAGTTTTCCTGATTGTCCATATCACTCCTCAGTCATTCAATCCCAGGGAGGGACTCGAATCGGGAGCTTCAGGCTCAGTGATGGGGTCACTATGCACTGCGCCACAAGGTGTTCCCCTTGAAATAAACATAATAATCATTACATGTTAACATTAACTCTGCTCAAAGTTTTTGAGAAGATTTGTAGCTCAGGTTGTGGATGAGGTTGTAGACTTGTTCACTGAGCCGATGTGTTTGGTTGCAGACGTTTCATCACCCTGCTAGGTAACATCGTCAGCGCGCCTCCGGTGAAGCATTGGTGTTCTGTCCCGCTTGTTATTTATATGCCTCAGTTTGTTGGGTTGGTTGATACCACTTCCGGTTCTGTTTCTCAGTGGTTTGTACACAGGGTCTAATTCAACAGGCGGCGATAAACCCAACACCACAGTTAGGGAACCAGATTACAACAACCCTGAAGAAATTACACAACTCAGGAGACATCAGCAAGCCAGACCACCAAAAAAATGAAGCCAGAGGGATCCAACACACCCCCTTCCATGGAGTCCCCAAGGTACACAAGCCAGGGGTCCCCCTCAGACCCACTGTCTCACTACCAGGTACGCCAACCTATAGACTACCCAAAAAACTAAAACAGAAACTGAAATACTTAGTTGACAACACTACCCACTCCATCCACTCCTCCCAAGAATTCCTCAACATCATCAACGACACCAGGATAGAACAGGATGAGATAATGATATCCTTCGATGTAACAGCACTATTTACATCCATAAACATTGACCGAGCCAAAGAGACAATTGCCACACTGCTGGACGAATCAGGAAGGTAGACACCCCACAACACCAACGGCATCAACAGGGACAGCACCCTGAAACTGCTGGATCTGTGCCTCACAATCCACTTCACCTTCAATGACCTTGTATTCAAACAAATTAACGGAACACCAGTGAGATTCCCAATATCAGGACTGATTACAGAAGGGGTAATAAAAAGGTTAGAATGGACAGCGCTCCCCACTATACAACCCAAACTCTGGGTCCAATATGTAGATGACACCTTCGTGATTATCAAACTCCCAAGACTAGAAGAAACCCACCGACACATAAACAACATCCTCACCAGAATAACATTCACAATAGAAGAAGAGAACAACAACCAACTACCCTTCCTAGACATAATGGTGGAACACAAGTACAACGGGGAACTCCAGACGAGCGTATATAGAATGACCACACATACAGACCAGATACTCAGTTACAGTAGCAACCACCCTAACGCCCACAAATGGAGCTGCATCAGGGCACTATTTAAATGAGCCACAACACACTACAGCATCGGGGTAGGCAACGGCCTCATGGTATTATTGCTGGATTGTTAACCCAGAGAGCCAGATAATGTTCTGGGGACCCGGGTTCGAATCCTGCCATGGCAGATGGTGGAATTTGAACTCAATAAATATCTGGAATTAAGAATCTAATGATGACCGTGAATCCATTGTTGATTGTTGGAAAAACCCATCTGGTTCAATAATGTCCTTTAGGGAAGGAAACTGCCATCCTTACCTGGCCTGGCCTGGCCTACATGTGACTCCAGATCCACAGCAATGTGGTTGACTCTGAACTGCCCTCTGGGCAATTAGGGATGGGCAATAAATGCTGCCTAGCCAGCAATACTCTCATCCAGTGAATGAATTAAAAAAAAGCCCGGAATTGCGCAAAGCAGAACAGGAGCACCTGTACAGAGTCTTCTAAAGAAATGGAAAAAAGCACAATCTGCCATTATCTCTGAAACAGACCACAACAGAAAGACACAACACGACCAGACTCACTAATCACCGTACCGTACAATCGAGGACATTTCAGAGATGGCCACAAGACTACTCAGACTCTTAGGCATCAGGGTAGCCCACAAACTAACAATCACCCTCCGACAGTTACTAACAAACATGAAGGATCCCATACCCAAAACCAACAAAAAACTGGTGTAATATTCAAGATACCATGCAAGGACTGTGGGAAACACTACACAGGCTAAACCAGAAGAAAAATGACAGTACTGATACATGAACACCAATTAGCGACCAAGAGACACAACCAATTTATCACTACACACGGACAATGAGGGACACCAATTCGACTAGGACAGCACATCCACAAATCGCACAGGCCAGAGACACAACACGGAATTCCTGGAGGCCTGGTATTGTAACTGGAACTCCATCAACAGACACATTGAATTATACCCTGTGTACAAACCACTGAGAAACGGAACCGGAAGTGGGACCAAACACCCCAACAAACTGAGGCATATAAATAACAAGTGGAACAGAACACCAACGCTTCATCGGAGGCGCACTGATGATGTTACCTAGCAAGGGGACGAAATGTTTGCAACCAAGCCTTCTGGCTCAGCGAGCTTGTCTACAACCTTGTTAACTCTGCTTTCTCTCCACACATGCTGCCAGACCTGCTGAGTTTTCCCAGCAATTTGTTTTTGTTTATAATCAATGTCAAATGACATCAAGCTCCTGGTCTGCAGAGCTCTGAAAGCTGGTGAAATGGTGCCATAACCAAAGCATTTGTCACACCTATTTGTAAAGTGTCAAAAGGACTTCCGTCATAGTAGTTACCGAATGGTTCCTTGGGTTTTCCTGTCTGTGATTCCCTGCTGAACTTGTTAAGCAGTTTTGTTACTTCCTGGTGTCTGTAAGAAATACACATTAATCACTGAGATATGTCAATATGAAAAATGGGTTGATTAATTTTTCCACTTTACAAGTTGCTGTGTTATTGTCTGCGCTGATCATGAGGGATAGATTTTCTGATATACAAATTCAAGGGCAAAGCATAATTACCAGCTAGGGCTCTGGTGGTACAATGGTAATGTCCCTACCTCTGTGTTCACATCTCGTGTGACAACATGTGCCTTTAACAGGGATTTGGTCTGTCCTGGTTCTCTTCAAGATGGATGTTGTAAGTCTAGTGCTGAGGTGTCTGCTCATGAAAAGCAGAGTAAATAGCTTTGCATTTTTTTAAAAATAGACAAAAAGAAGCATGAGTGGGTGTAGTCAGGCTCACACAGACCCAGGGTTTTGGTTTTGCTTTGAAGTTGAAGGTTTTGGAGTTGAAGCTGCTAGATACAGCTCTCTCTCTGCTGCTGCTGCAAAAGCTCAAGTGCTCTCTCTGCTGCTAGACTCATTCTGTTGGTGTTCCTTCTCCTGGACTGAAGGAGATAGCAAGTGAGAGAAATCTATTTTCTAGTACAATCAAGGAAATAGACTCTTGCTCATTTCCCATCCATGACAGTAAATAAGCAGATTACAGCTACTGAAAGCTACCTTTCCTGTAACACTGGCCTTTGAGGATGACTCTGCAGAAACAGAATAGTGACAAGCCACACATTAGAAGAATTACAGCAAACATTGTGCTCACCAGCACCTTATGAACCAACGCTCTTGCTAAACCAGCAAAAAACTGTATACCTCAAATACTGGACGTTTACTGTATTATCGCGATGTCTGAGTACTCAGTTGAGGTGCAAGTGAGAAGACTCTCAACTGGGAAGTTGTTATTCAAGGCAAAGTTGATTATTTAAGTGATGCATAATGTAAATAAAGTATAACAGCAATATACAGCCCTTACTTTATGCTTTTATTACTTAGTGCATGTCTTTACATTGATGACGTGAACTTCTTGATCAACGGGAATATTGGATTAACTGGTATACTCCTGGTCCCATAGACGTTGGGTTAATAAAAAGTTGGCTGTAAAACTTAATGAAGCCTTTGGGTTGCTTTTGTTCAACAAACTATCGGGGAAGGACAGTTACCTAGAGAACCTCGGAGAGCTGGGAGGCTGAATGAAGGGATGCTAGACCGAACCAGTAACACAATTCTCATTCCACTGGATTCTTGCCAGCTCCTTCTATCAGGCATATCTCTCCCTCCTCCACCATACAACTCCATACTGCCTGGAATTAAACAGAATGGAACTGAGACTGTTTCCAGCTTTGTCAGAACTGAGTGAAGGTATTTTTATTCACTCTGACACAAAGGCTGTTCTCAAAATTAAATGAACATCTTAAAATTAATGCACCAAGCACTGTTTTCGAAAAAAAAGTGTATCTAATTAATGCAGAATTATAGAAGAGTCTGTGTTCTGGGTTCCTTGACGCTCATAGTAGTCTATAAGAGGACATCAAAGTAGATATCAGTAACAGCAATAATCTTACCTGCATTAGATTTTGTGTTCAAGGCTCACTCCAGGGATTTGAGCCCAGAATGTCAGGGTAACCATTCAGTTTGGTACTGAGGAAGTGCTGCACTGTCAGCGGCACTGCAGTTTGGTAAAACTACTTAAACTGTGGTCTTGTTTCCCCTCTGAGATGGGTACAATGCAGAAAACAGTTGTATTCTCACTTAGCCACAGCACTCATCCATCGACCGTCAGTAAATAGATTATCGGTTTATGTATCTCACTGATGCTAGTGGGATCTTAGTTTTCCCAAACTAACTACTGCATCATGTGTAATAGCAACGACTACATTTAGAAAGCACTTCGTTGGCTGCCAAGTAAATTAGGACATTCTGAGGGGATGGGAGGCACTAGAGGGAACTTTGGAACAGGAGTAGGCCATTCAGCCCCTCCAACCCACTCTGCTATTTTGTATGGTCATGCCTGACCAAACACTTCAGTGTCTTTCCCCATACTACTTCCAGAACTTGTGATGACATCAGAAATGAAGAATCTATCAATCTCTACACTGAACATGTTCAAAAACTGAGCTTCCACATTAATCAGGGATGGAGAATTCAAAAGATTCATAACTCTCTGAGTAAAAGAGAAACTTGTCCTTATCTCAATTCTAGGTGGCATCGCTCTTTATTTTAAATTGTGCCAAAGACAGAAATTGCTGGAACAGCTCAGCAGGTCTGGCAGCAAGTGTGGAGAGAAATCAGAGTTAGTGTTTCGGGTCGAGTGACCCTCCCCGTGTCCCCCGGTTCTAGAGTCCAGGCTAAACATCTTACCTAGATTGACGCTGTCTACCCTTTCAATTATTTTGTAGGTTTGATGAGATCAATGGGATTATAAATCCAAGCACTGTGTTTGTTTGAGAGGGATAGTGGGAACTGCCGATGCTGGAGAATCTGAGATAACAAGGTGTAGAGCTGGATGAACACAGATGCAATCTGACCCCACTACCAAAAGTTTTTCCCTCCCCACCCTTATCTGCTTTCCGGAAGGACCGCTCTCTCCGTGACTGCATTGTCCGCTCCACACTCCCCACCAGCCCCACCACACCCGGCACTTTTCCCTGCAACTGCAGGAAGTGCTACACCTGCCCCCATACCTCCTCCCTCACCCCCATCCCAGGCCTCAAGAAGACTTTCCACATCAAGCAGATGTTCACCTGCACATCTGCTAATGTGGTATACTGCATCCGCTGTACCCGGTGTGGCTTCCTCTACATCGGGGAAACCAAGTGGAGGCTTGGAGACCGCTTTGCAGAACACCTACACTCGGTTCGCGACAAACAACTGCACCTCCCAGTCACGAACCACTTCAACTCCCCCTCCCATTCCTCAGACGATATGTCCATCCTGGGCCTCCTGCATTGCCACAACGATGCCACCCGAAGGTTGCAGGAACAGCAACTCATATTCCGCTTGGGAACCCTGCAGCCCAATGGTATCAATGTGGATTTCACAAGCTTCAAAATCTCCCCTCCCCCTACCGCATCCCAAAATCAGCCAAGCTTGTCCCTGCCTCCCTAACCTGTCCTTCCTCCCACCTATCCCCTCCTCCCACCTCAAGCCCCACCCCCATCTCCTACTTACTAGCCTCATCCTGCCTCCTTAACCTGTCTGTCCTCCCTGGATTGACCTATCCCCTCCCTAACTCCCCACCTACACTCACCTTTACTGGCTCCATCCCCGCCTCTTTGACCTGTCTGTCTCCTCTCCACCTATCTTCTCCTTTATCCATCTTCTATCCTCCTCTCCCTATTTATTTCAGAACCCCCTTCCCCTCCCCCATTTCTGAGGAAGGGTCCAGACCCGAAACGTCAGCTTTCCTGCTCCTCTGATGCTGCTTGGCCTGCTGTGTTCATCCAGCTCTACTCCCTGTTATCTCACTGTCTTTGTTTGTGTTGGTTTAACTCTTGAATAATTCATGTTGTTACCTTTTGTCATGTAGATTTGCAACCTGAAGTTTCTCACTCCTGTCCTTCAAAACTTGCTATTTCGTATTTCTCAGCATCATTTCTTTGAACTGCATGACAGTTGCTAAAATATTAGACAGAGTGAAGTCAGCAATGTATGAAACTAACATCACCAAGCAGCCTCAGGGTTAGAGAGAAAAGATAGGCTTTTTAAAGGACCAGGCTTCTCAAAATTCTTTAAGCCATGAAGTTGTTTTTGAAGTCTAGTCACTGTTGTAAGGTAGGAAATGTGGCACCCATTTTGTACACAGCAAGCTCCCACAAACAACAAGGTGATCATAACCAGGCAATCTGGTTTCATCACAGATATCATAGAATTCCCACAGAGTGGAAACAGGCCCTCCGGCCCAACAAGTCCACACTGACCCTCAAAGCATCCCATCCAAACCCATTCCCCCTATGACCCAACTAATTTAAACATCCCTGAACACTATGGGGAAATTTAGCATGGCCAATCCACCTAGCCTGCACATCTTTGGACTGTGGGAGGAAACCGGAGCACCTGGAGGAAACCCACACAGACACGGGGAGAACGTGCAAACTCCACACAGGCAGAGGGTGGAATCGAACGCAGGTCCCTGGTGCTGTGAGGCAGCAGTGCTAATCACCGAACCACCGTGCTGCCCATAATTCAAATTTCACCACCTCTCACGATGGGATTTGAATTCATGCCACCAGGACCCAGGGGTTTTGGATTGTTAATGCAGTAACATCACCACTGCGCCACTCAATCTGGTTTGTGCAGCATTGATCCGGCGATAGTTGTCAGGGATAGCTCCCTCATACTGTTCTTCAAAATAGTGCCACAGGATCTTTTACATTCCCTCACATAGGCAAAGCGGGACCCGATTTTAACATCTGACCCACTTGTGGCGCAATGGTAGTGCCCTTATCTGTGGACCGGGAGGCCAGGTTCAAGTCTCACCTACTCCAGAGGTGTGTGATAACATCTCTGGGCCGGCTGATTAGAAAAGTAGGTTAGATTAACGAAACATTTCAGCCTAAAGACAGTGCTTTCGTCAGTGTGGCACTCCCTCGGTACTGTACTGGAATGTTGACATGGACTTCTGTGCTCATGTCCTGGGGAGTGGGACTTGAACCCAGAATCTTACAATTCAGAGGAAAACGTGCTACTAACGGGGCCGTTGCTGCCGTGACTGTGTTTGGATTAGAGGTTGGTGCAATGCTGTATCTTCAATACCAGCTGCACAGCGACACATTAAACAAATGCCACTTCTGCACCTCTCAAGGCAGGGCAACGGCATGCGATATTCCTGTCAGGACGTGAACTTGCCACCAGGAACATACACAAACCGAGGACAAACCTGTGCGTTTTGCCTTGCTTCGCGAGATCCAGCGGGGTCAGCCCATCCTTGTTCCGTAGCTGGAGGAGAGGGATGCCAGCTTCCGTTGCCAGCAACCAGCAAATGGCAGCTGATCCTGTCTGAGCCGCCACGTGCATGGGGGTCATCCCCCATGTGTCAGCCGCATCAACTTGGCACCTCTGGGCGAAAAGACAGGTTTATTAACAAGAGGGAACATAAACAGAGATTGCTGGAAAAGCTCAGTATCCGCGGAGAGAAAACTCCTCAGTTCTAAGGAAAGGTCACTGGACCCGAAACGTTAATTCCGCTTTCTTTCCACCATCTGTGAACAGAAATCAGAGAGTTAACATGTCAGGTTGAGCGACCCTTCCTCAGCACTCTTCCGATTTCTCCCCACAGACGTTGCCAGACCTGCTGAGCTTTTCCAGCAATTTCTCTTTTACTTTCTGATTTACAGCATCCGCAGTTCTTTTCGGTTTTTATTCGTCGGTTCCTTCGGTTGGATAGCGATGCAGAGTGACACCAAAAGTGTGGGTTCGATTCCCTGCACTGGCTGAGGTCACCATGAAGAGCTCTCCTTCTCAATCTCTCCCCTCGCCCGAGGCATGGTGACCCTCAGGTTAAACTACCACCAGTCACCTCTCTTTAATGAGAAAGCAGCCCCGTTGTTCGGTAAGACTATGGCAACCTTACAAAAACTCCTGTTTGGTCAAACTTCATCTGTCTTTTAGAGGTTTATGAAATCAGGAGGGGTATAGATAGGGTTAATGGTAGGTGTCTTTTCCCTAGGATGGAGAATTTTTAAGGTTAGAAGAGAGAGATTTTAAAAAAGACATGACGGGCAAATTTTTTCACACAGAGGTTCGCATGTAGAATGAACTTCTGGAGGAAGTGGTGGATGCTGGTACAGTTACAACGTTTAAAAGACACTTAGATATGTACATGACTAGGAAAGGTTTGGAGGGATATGGGCCAGGATCTGGCAGGTTGGACTAGGTTAGTTTGGGATTATGATTGGAGTACGCTGGTTGGACCAAAGGGTCTGTTTCTGTGCTGTATGATTCTATGAGTCTGTGTCTTCTTCATTCATTGTTTTTTGTTTGGGGGTGGGGGGTGCGGTTGTGGGAGGAGGGTGCCGAGAAATGAGAGGGCTACCTTCTTTATGTTGGAAAAATGCTTCTTCTAACTGACCACCATTAGAAGGATTGATTTATTTACTTTAAAACAAACCCCATTAACTTAATATACATCATTTAGCAACAGGGCTGGTCTATATAGACTCATCTGGGAGCGAATCTCAAAGGGAGCAGTCTGGTGAAAAAGGATTGATCCAACATCCTCCAGCTGACCTTGTTTGGCAGGAAGTAACTTTATGATGACAGAGGTTAAGGGTCAATGGTTGTCAGGACCCAGCGCAAAAACAAAAGGGGATCAGTCAACAGCAACTCTTTAGGTAACTTAAGAGCCATTGTGACAGGACCAGCCCAGTCTGGTGTAACAGTCTGGTGCAGCTAGATTGCTGCACACCGTTCACAAGTAGAATCACTGACAGTACAGATACAGACAGCGATGGGATGAATTGGGAAGTGAGTAGAGGATTACTACAGTCTCTAGTGTGTGACTGGGTATCAGCCTGGACCGTTTCTCCCTACTGAGCAAAAATTGGCAAAAACTATCTGCCAAAAGCAAACTGCTGCAAACACAAATATACCAACGCTACAAGAAATCCAGAGGAGAAAGGTCTAGGGCAAATTGGTGAGCTCTTTCCAAGAGATAGCACCAGCACCAGCACAATGGAATGAATGGTCTCCTGCAATGAGAGATGCCATATCAAAGCAAAAAAAATCTACAAAATACAGGCTAAAACTGTACCCACAGGTGGGAATCTGAAATACAGCTGTATTTGAGGTGGCAAACCTCACAATGTCGAAAAAGTATTTGGATGAGCACTTGAAATGTGATTACATCCAAGGGTATGGGCCAAGTGATGGAAAGTGTAGACAGGTTGGTGGACGAATGGATGGGCCGAAGGGCTTTTTAATGAGCTATTCTATTGCACAGAACATATCTGCACTGGTCACTTTCCACAGGAGGTTCAGACTGAGCTCTTGGTGCAGGTCTTCTTGGTGGAAGATTACTCACCGCACTTCTCAGCAAATATCTGATGACGTCCTCATTGCCAATGGAGGCCGCAGTGTGCAGAGGGGTCCGCAGAAACCTGTCCGGCTCACGGAAATCAAACTGACCCATTTCTTCAAGGTAACGGATAGCGACTCTGCAGGCAGAGAGAGAGTGGAATCACGAGCTGAGGGGGAGCAGGCACCAACCAAAACGGGGGTTTTGCAGAAGTAACAACCTTGCATTCATATAGCGCCCTTAACACAGCACAACGTCAGCAGTACTTCACCGAACGATCATCAGGCAACAGCAGGCACTGAGTCACTGAAGGAGAACCAAAGAGCTTTGATTTTAAGGAGTATCATTTTTACTTTCGCCTATGGGATGTGGGCATCGCTCGCTGGACCAGCACTTATTGCCACAGTTCTAAGGAAGGGTCACCGGACCCGAAATGTTAACTCTGTTTTCTCCTTCACAGATGCTGCCAGACCTGCTGAGCTTTTCCAGCAACTTTGTTTTTGTTACTTATTGCCCCGTCCCCAGTTGCCCTAGAGAAGGTGGTGGTGAACTTCCTTCTGGAATCGCTGCAGTCCAAGTGCTGTAGATAGACCCACAATGCCTGTAGGGGGGGGATGCCAGGATTTTGACCCAGCAGTGAAAGAACGGTGATACACAGCAAACTTTTTATTAACCAGCACCTATGGGACCAGGAATGTGCGGGTTGATCAAATATTCCGGATAATCAAGAGGTAACGCAAAACCTCAGTAAACCCTGACCAAGAGAGGCTTCAAGACATCAACATCCCTCAAAACACTATGTAAAAACATCCTAAAATCATGTAAAAGATACACAGAAATGTAATGCAGGGGCTTACACATCACTGTTATACATTATAGGTGGCAGCATGGTGTCTCAGTGGTTAGCACTGCTGCCTCACAGCACCAAGGACCCAGGTTTGATTCCAACCTCGGGCGACTGTCTGTGTGAAGTTTGCACATTCTCCCCGTGTCAGCGTGGGTTTCCTCCGGGTGCTCAGGTTTCCTCCCACAGTCCAAAGGTGTACAGCTTAGGGTGGATTGGCCTGGTGGGATGATCTTTGGAGGGTCAGTGAGGACTCGATGGGCTGAATGACCTGCTTCCACTGTGCAGGGATTCTAATGACTTGCATTATAAATACTCAGTATTTGAGGTATATAATTTTTGCTGAATTATAAGAGTGCTGGTTGATAAGGTGCCAGTTAAAACAAAGTTTGCTGTATTTCCAAGTCAGGATGGTGAGTGGCTTGGAGGGAACTTGCAGAGGGTGGTGTTCCCACGTATCTGCTGTCCTTGTCCTTCTGGATGGAAATGGTCATGAGCTCGGAAGGTGCTGTCTGAGGATCTTTGGTGAATTTCTGCAGTGCATCTGGTAGATGGTACACACTGCTGCTACTGAGATTTGGTGTTGAGGGGAGGTGGTGCCAATAGAACAGGCTGTTTTGTCCTGGATGGCGTCAAGTTTTTGCAGTGTTGTTGGAGCTGCACCCATCCAGGCAACTGGGGAGTATTCCATCACAGTCCAGACTTGTGCCTTGTAGATAGAAGACAGGTTCTGGGGTGTCTAAGCGGAATTTTCTGATTCTTCTCGGAGTCAGGAGGAGGAGGATCCAGAGATAGAGAGGGGTGATGCCACAGAGGGACAGGAAACCAACAATGAGAATTCCTCCTCCCTCCTTATCAGCTAACTCAACCCCAATCCATAACGGAGACACTGAAATTCCCCCAATATCGCCACTCGCCGTAATTTCCCTGCACAGCCCATTCTGATACGCTGAAGCGATAAAAGTGCCCGATACTGGGGATTTTCCAGGTGGCCTGAAAATGATGTAAAATCTACCACAAGGATTGATGTATGAATGCCATACTTACACACTGCCACCAGACACGGCCTGGTGAAGGGCAGTCTTCCCTTGGTTATCCAGTGCTGCCACATTCGCCCCTTTCTTCACCATTTGATGCATAATGCACAGTGCCCCACGCCTAGAGTGAGCAAGGAAGAAGAGACCCTGGTTTGAGTCATTTTGCATGTACAGCTGAGAGTAAACCTACAAAAAAAATGGGAGAGCTAGGATGAGAGAAGGGACAGCGACAGAGAGAGAGGGGACAGCGACAGAGAGAGAGAGGGGACAGCGACAGAGAGAGAGGGGGGACAGAGACAGAGGGAGAGGGGGGACAGAGAGAGAGAGAGGGGGGCACAGACAGAGAGAGAGAGGGGGCACAGACACAGAGAGAGAGGGAGAGAGAGAGGGACAGAGGAAGAGAGAGAGAGGGAAAGAGGGAGAAACCGAGAGAGAGGGGAAGATGGAGAAAGGGGAAGATGGAGAGAGACAGACACAGAGTGAGAGAGACAGAGAGACAGAGGAATGGATACAGATAAAGAGAGAAGCTCTTCTTTCGAGTTCATCAGCTAGTAGGGAATGCAAATGGAATGTTGTCCTTTATTTCAAAGGGAATGGCCTATAAAAGTAGCGATGTTTTGCTAATACTACATAAGGCAGTAGTTAGATCACAGTTCTAATACTATAAAGAGTTTTGTGCCCCTTATCTAAGGAAAGATATACTGGCACTGTAGGCAGTCCAGAGAAGATTCACTCGGCTGACACCAGGTATGGAGAGAATATCTCATGAGAAGCAGTTGAGTAGGTTGGGCCCGTATTCGTTGGAATATACAAGATTCTGAGAGGATGTGACAGGGGAGATGTGGAAAGGTTGTTTCCTCCTGTGGGAGAGTCTGCGACCACAGGGTATAATCTCAGAATAAGGGGCTGCACATTTAAAACAGAAAAGAGGAGGAATCCTTCTCTCATGGGGTTATACACCTGTGGAATTCCTTATCACAGACGATATTGAGGTTGATTCATTCAGTATATTTAAGGCTGTGATAGACGGATTTTTTAATCAGTGAGGGAATCAAGGGTTATGGGAAAAAGGCAGGAAAATGGAGCTGAGGATTATCAGATCAGCCATGATGTCATTGAGTGGCAGAGCAAACTTGATGGGATGAATGGCCCATTTCTGTTCCTAGGCTTATGGCCCTCTGGTGTGGAAATCCAAAACAAGAGGAAAGAATCTTGAGATTAGAGCCAGAACATTCAGAGGTGAAGAACTTCTGCACAGAGCAGTGGACATCTGGAACCGGAGTTGGTGACAACAGAAGTCAGTTTTAAATTTTATCACAGAGGAGAATTACATATTTTTTTCCGCAGCAAAGATAGTAAGGAATGTAGAACAAAGGCGAGTAGGCTCAAGATGCAGATCAGTCATGACCGAATTGAACAGTGGAACCAACTCTAAATGCCAAATGACCAACCATTTGCTCTCCTGTACCTATGTTTGTGAAAATGAAGAGTAGAAAGTTCTGACAAAGGTCTTTCACAGGCTGTCTGAATACTATTTAATACTCCATTTGCGACATTCCACCTTATGAACCTCCCTGAGGCAGTAATGTTGGCAACATGAACAAATAGTCCTGTTAGTTACCCTGGAAACAGCTGGCAGCCATTTTGTTTGTCTGTCTTCAGATGTTACGTGGCTGATGGCTCTCTCTGCAGGAATTCTTACTCACCTGCAGGCAAAATGAAAGGGTGTCTCTCCTGCATCATTGGGAATATTGCTGTCTGCCCCATGTTCCAGCAGCAGGTACGACAAAGCCTTGTGGCCACGGTACGCTGCATGGTGAAGTGGCGTGAACCCATGCCAGCCTCGAGAGAGAGAGAGAAAATCAGTGTCACTGAATGCAGCAAATACAACAAGGCAAACAGGGAGCCATAGTACACTCGCCTCAGAGTAACAAGGTACTGGGCTCAAGTCCCTACTCCTAGATTCAAACATCACAATCAAGTTGGCACTTGGTGTGGTACCGAGGGAGTGCTGCACTGTTGGAGGTGCTGAGATGTTAAACTGAGGTAGCCCCCACCTATCTACATGGCACCATTTTGAAGACCAGCAGGGTATCCCTAACATAGAATAGTACAGTACAGGCCCTTCAGCCCACAATGTTGTGCCGACCTATTATTTTTAGAAATCTGGGCTCGTCCGGGATTTGAACCCAGGACTTCTTGCATGTCAACAATGCCCAAGACCCTAAGCGAAAAATCACACCCCTAGACCAACAAGCTGTCTAACACATCACAAAAAAAAGACAGATTCTCTGATCATTATTCGATTGCTGTTGGTGGGAGCTTGCTGTTCACAAATCAGCTGCCCCGTTTTGTACATTATAACAGCGGCTATATTTCAGAAAGGACATAATTGGCTGTGAAGTGCAATATCAACACATGCCTCTCTCTTTTGGGATACACGGAGTCTACTTTCTCAGCCCAGGTAAAAGGACTTGTAATGATAAGACAGAGAGCCCAGTAAATACCAGATATGTCCTGGCAACACTGATATCCCCTCACTCTGAGAGAGGCTGCTGCTCTGTTTTAATTGAGGGGTAAACAGGGATAGAAGGCTGCAACAAGATGAGAGGCAGAGAGTGGCAAAGTGCTTGTGAAGGAGTGGAAAACTCTTTGCAAGAGTCCGGCTGTTTCTGGCATAAGATGTTAATCCTATTAGCATACAACACTGCCATCTCATGATGAAAACTGAATTAGCAAAATGAGGCATGAGAAGTTTTAGAGATTAAAGATTTAAAGTGCATCCAGTAATTTCTGTTTGATTCAAATTCATTTCATTCAACTCACCTATTAATTTAGATTTTTAGCAGCAAGGTGCAAACTGCGCTCAAACTAAATTCTCCCTTTGCAAATAAGTGACCGTCAACATTTTGCATTTAATGCAGTGTCTTACAATCAGTAAATATTGAATTACATTAGTCATAAACAAGATGTCACCACGTCTACCCTACAAAGCTCCAAGACCCCACTGTTCCTCTAACTCTGCCTCTTGCAGATGCCCATTTTTCATTGCTCTGCCATTGGTGACCATGCTTTGAGCTGCCTGGATTTTCAGCTCTGGAATTCCCTTCCAATACTTCCCTCTTTATCCCGCTTCAATCCTGGAAGATGCTTCTTAAACACCTATCTCTTTGACTGAGCTTTTGTTACTTGGCTCAATGAATACTTTGTTTGATAATAGCTCCTGCCATGTGACTTGGGACAATTTCTTACTTTCAAGGCTCTATAATTTTGGCGCCATTAAGGACAGGATGTTCACACATTTATGCACATTTTTATTTCGTACAGTCCAGTCCAGTGCAAAAATATCGTGAGCCAGTGTGTCAATTTTCAGATTGTACACAGCTGAAACCCCCACTAATGGCATCCTGTTGTGGGTTAACATGGACCAGAAACTGAACTGGATCAATTCAATAAGTACGATGGTTACAAGAGCAGGTCGGAGCAGGGAACACTGCAGGGAGTAACTCACTTCCTGACCTCCCCAAAACCTGTCCATCATTTACAATGCACAAGTCAGGAGTGTGATGGAATACTCTCGACTAGCCTGGATGAATGCAGCTATAATGACCCTCAAGAAGCTTGACACCATTCAGGTCAAAGCAACTCATTTGACCTGCACTCCATCCATCACATTCTACATTCACTCCCTCCTCTACTGATACACAGGGACAGCAGATTGCACCATCTATGAGCTACCTTGCAACAACTAGTGACTTCCAAACTTGTGAACTCCACCGCCTAGAGGGACAAGGGCAGAGGGAATACCACTGCAAGCAAGTTCCCCTCCAAGTCACTCACCATCCTAACTTGGGACAACATTGCTATTTCTTCACTGTCAAAATCCTGGAGCTCCCTCCCTAAGACACTGTGGTTGTGTCTATACCCCAGGGGCTGCAACGGTTCAAGGCAGTTTACCACCACCTTCTTCAAGACAATTTGGAATGGACAATAAATGTCAGCCCAATAAGTGATACCGACATCCTCCAGGCAAACTCTAAAAGAGGAATGGATTAATGTCATTCCACTATTTAACAAATGTGAGAGTGCCTCGAGTCCTGTTTAATAGTTTCATTGGTTTGTTAAAATAACAAAACAATACTGCACAGGAACAGGCCCTTCGGCCCACCAAGCCTGCACCAATTCCTAATCCTTATTTAGACCCACTACTTATTGCCCATGCATGGTATCTATTCCTCTGTTCGCCTCCTGTTCACATGTCTATCAAAGTATGCCTCAAACGTTGCCATGCACCTGCTTCCACCAACTCCACTGGCAGTGCATTCCAAGGATCCACCCTCTGGGTGAAAAGTTTTTCCTGCACTTCTCCCTTAAATTTCCCCCTCTCACCTTGAACCCGTGCCCTCTTGTTTAGTTGACCTTTCCATCTTGGGAAAAACCCTCCGACTATCCACCCTATCTGTGCCTCTCGTAATTTTGTAGACCCCGACCAGGTCACTCTTAGCCTTCGTCTTTCTAGTGAAGACAATCTGAGTTTATCCAACCTTTCCTCACAATAAAACCCTCCAGACCAAGCAACATCCTGGTAAACCTTCTCTACCCCCTCTGCAAAGCATCCACGTCCTTCTGATAGTGTGGCAACCAGAACTGCATGCAATATTTCAAATACGGTCTAACTAACGTTTTGTACAAATGTAGAACTGTAACAAAAAACAAAACACGAAAACAAGTTGAACAACTTGTAAAAATACTGCACATCTATTGTAGGATCATGAGCATAGTCTGACAAGCTTCACTAGGATAAAAGTAATAAGGGGCTTGAAACTTTAATTCTGTTTGTCTCTCCACAGATGCTGCCAGACCTGCTGAGTTTCTCCAGAATTCTGTGTTTGTTTCAGATTTCCAACATCAGCAGTATTTTTTCTGTATTAATAAATTACGGTTCCTTGAGCGATAATCGGGAAGTGAATTTTGTACATTAAGTAGTGAATTCTCTCAGCAACATCTCCTTCTCCACAAAAGCAAAGTACTGCAGATGTTGGAAATCTAAAACGAAAATCAGCAAATGGTGAAACTACTCAGCAGGTTAGGCAGGCACTGCGAGAGAAACAGAGTTAAAGTATCAGGTCGATACTCTTTCAGCAGTGTGTGCTGGAGTCATTGGATTGTGAATAACTCAGGGTAGTGCTCTCTCCTCTCAGTTCTGGAGTTCAGCAATGATGGAATTGAAACTGGGGTGGGCCTGGCATGCGAAGCTTTATCAGAAAGCAGAAGGTAGCTGTATCCTCAGAGCCACTGTGATATCTGGTATTCCTATGTCAGGCAGGGTTGTTTGACGAGCACTCAGATTCAAATCCCATACCAGGGTGTGAATACAAATATCGAAGACAACTCTCCAATGCACTACTGAGGGAGTGCTGTCTTTCACATAAGGCATTAAACCGAGGCCTTGGTTTGAGTGCAATAAGACCATAGGGAATAGTAATAGGAGTAGGCCTTTCAGCCCCTTGAGACTGCTCTACAATTAAACAGGATCATGACTGATCCGACATTCCTCATGTCCACTTTCCTGCACTTTTCCCATAACCTTTGATTCCCCAACTGGTCAAGAATCTCTCTATATCGCCTTTCTACATACACAAGGATTCTGACCCCACAGCTCTCCATGCTCCATGGCAAGGAGTTCCAAACACTCTCAATGCTCCAAGAGAAGAAATTCCTCCTCATCTCAGTACTAAATTGGCTCCTCTTTATTGCAAGAATATGCCCTCTGGTCCTAGACTCTCCCCTGAGGGGAAACATCCTCTCAGCATTTATCCTGTCAGGCCCCTTAAGAATTCTATATGTTTCAATGAGATCACCCCTCATTCATCTAAATTCCAGAGGGTAGAGATGAAACCTGTTTATCCTTTGCTCATAAGACAATTTGTTGGTTGGTTCACCTAATGAAGGGGCAGCGCACCGAAAGCTTGTGTTTTTTAAATAAACCTGTTGGACTATAACCTGGTGTCGTGTGGCTTCAGACCTAAAATAACACAGGCAATTCGCACAGGGGTCACACTGGCAGTCACTGTGCCACAGCAATGAAAGAATCAAACATTGGGATAAAAATTTGATTGTCGAGGCCACTACTTCTCAGATGAAATGTTAAACAGACATCCCAGCTGTCTGGTCATGGGATCACAGGACATACTTGGAGAGGAGGAAGTTTCCTTGGCAAAACCCCCTCTGAATTACTAATCCAGTGGCATCACCACCACACCATTCTCCACTATCACAGCTCTTCTTCCAAAATGATTTTTCAAACATTTGTTTATCCATTTATTAGATATGGACATCGCTGGCTGGGCCAGTAGTTTGTTCCCACCCCTAATTGCCCTGGAAAAGATGTTAATGAGCCACCTTCATGAACCTCTGGCATCTGGGATGGGGTAGAAAGAGATGCATGTACATTCTCTCCATCGCGTCTCCAGTTCTTTTGACAATCAGCTTAAATCTGTGCCCCTTTTGGTGACCAACCCAGCTGCGAATAGAATCAAATCTTCCTTATGACCTGCCAAAAGTCCTGGAAAAAATCTACATGATGTTCGACTCTTCTCCTTTATTCATTCACGGGATGAGGGCGTCACTGACCAGGCCAGCATTTATTGCCCATCCCTAATTGGCCAAAGGGCAGTTAAGAGTCAACCACATTGCTGTGGGTCTGGAGTCACATGTAGACCAGACCAGGTAAGGATGGTAGTTTCCTTCCCTAAAAGACGTTAGTGAACCAGATGGGTTTTTCCTGACAATCGACAATGGATTCATGGTCATCATTAGATTCTTAATTCCAGATATTTTGAATTCAAATTTCACTATCTGCCATGACGGGATTTGAACCTGGGTCCTCAGAATGTTATCTAGGTCTCTGGATTAACAGTCCAGCGATAATACCACTAGGCCACTGCCACCTCTAAACTGCAATTAAAGCTCTCTCCACACTGTCCCCATCAAACACTCACAGGAGAAGGACAGCACAGGCTAGGTTCCGAGTAAAGCTCCCTCTCGTCTTTTAAACTGAAATTAAAGCTTTCTCCACATTGTCCCCATCAAACACTTCCAGGGCAAGGATAGGACGGGGTTACATACGGAGTAAATCTTCCTCTAATCTTTTAAACTGAAATTAAAGCACCCTCCACATTGATGGAGGCAAACACGCCCAGGACTATACATATATTACAAACAAGAGGTTAACTAGGGAGAAGGTAGGACCGTTCAAAGATAAAGGAGGGAACTTGTGCTTGGAGGCAGAGAATATGGGTGAGATCCTAAATGAGTACTTCGCATTGGTATTCGCCCTGGGAAAGAATATGGAGGCCAGTGAGATTAGTGTAGGGAATGCTAATATGCTGGGGCACTTAGAGATCAAGAAAGAAGTGGTGCTGGGTCTCTTGAAGAGCATTACAATGAATAAGTCCTGAGGGCCCAATTGTATCTATACCAGGTTATCGAGAGAGGCGAGAGAAGAGATTGCTGGGATGTTGACCAAGATCTTTGTATCCTCCCTAGCCACTGGAGAAGTCCTGGAAGACTGGCGAGTAGCTAATGTTGTTCCTCTGTTCAAAAAGGGAAAGAGGGATATTCCAGGAAACTATAGACCGTGAATCTCACATCAGTGGTTGGAAGCTACTGGAGAGAATATTTAGGGATAGGATTCAAGCACATTTGAAAAAGCAAGGCCTAATTAGGGATAGTCAGCATGGCTTTGTGCAGGGCAAGTCATGTCGTACTAACTTGATTGGATTTTTCGAGGAGGTGATGAAGGCGATTGGTGAGGGTACAGCATGTTGTCTACATGGATTTTAGTAAGGCTTTCAACAAGGTCCCTCATGGTCGGCTCATCCAGAAGATTAAGACATAAGTCACACAACACCAGGTTATAGTCTCCAGGTTATAGTTCAACAGGTTTATCTGGAATCACACAAACTTTCAGAGTGCAGTCCCTTCGTCAGGTGCAGCGAAAGAGCAAGGCACATAGACACAGAGGTAGTTTGTAGGCATAGAGATCAAAAGATCTTACAATCTTACTGAGTGGAGTGTCAGATGATAAGTCTCTGCAGGTGATCAAGACTGTTAGACAGTGTTTATAAACTCAATGTCAGTGCTGTTCTGTCATGACCATCAGGCAAAGCGATAGGAATATACAAAAGGTGACAACTCAGGTCAGACAATGAATTGTAAGTGTTAGGTTTTGTTCAGAATCTGTCTCAGAGTTTTAACCTGGAATCAGGCTGGTTTTATTCCGAAGGCTGGAATTTATACACACACATATAAATCTATGGGGTGAATCATTTCACCTAAGATGTTACATTCTATTTTGTTCAAAAGACACAATTTGTAATCACAGTCAGTCAGTGTGGCATCTTATAAATTCCTGCTTTTGGAATAAAACCAGCCTGATTCCAGGTTAAAACTCTGAGACAGATTCTGAACAAGGCCTCACACCTACAATTCACTGTCTGATCTGAGATGTCACCTTTTGTATATTCCTAGCGCTCTGCCTAATTGTCAGGACAGCACAGCACTGACATTGACTCTACAAACACTTTACACACCATCTAACACTCTTGGTCACCTGCAGGGACCTATCACCTGTCACTCCACTTACACCAGTTATATGATCTTGGAGTTGTGGATAGTGTAGAAGGTTATCAAAGGATACAACAGGATATAGATCAATCGCAGATAATGGCAGAGAAATGGGAGATGGAGTTTAATCTGGGTAAGTGTGAGGTGCTACACTTTGGGAGATCACATGTTAAGGAAAAGTATACAGTTAATGGCAGGACCCTGAACAGCATTGATGTACAGAGGGATCTTGGGTTTCAAGTCCATAGCTCCCTGAAAGTAGCCATGCAAGTAGATATGGTGGTAAAGAAGGCGTAAGGTTTGCTTGTCTTAATTGGTTGAGGAATTGAGTACAAGAGTCAGGATGTCATGTTGTAGCTTTACAAGACCTTGGTTAGGCCATATTTAGAGTATTGTGTTCAATTCTGGTTGCCATTTTACAGGAAGGATTTGGGGGCTTTGGAAAGGGTGCAGAAGAGGTTTACCAGGATGCTGCCTGGATTAGAAGGTATGAGCTATAAGGAGAGGCTAGATAAGATGCATAGAAAGGGTTGATGGTCAGACTCCCCGGAGTTGAAATGTCTTATACTACAGCGCATGCATTTATGGTGAAAGGGGGAAGGTTCAAAGGAGACGCAAGCGGCAAGTTATTTTTTACAGAGTGGTAGGAATCTGGAAGGCTCTGCCAGGGGTAGTAGTGGAGGCAGATATGATAAGGAACTTTTATATAAGTGCACGAATATGCAAGGAATGGAAGTGAAATGGACCAAGGGCAGGCAGAGGGGATTAGTTTAATTTGGCATCATGTTTAGCACAATGTCATGGACCAAAGGGCCCTTTCCTGTGTTGTACTATTTATTCTGTGACAAGTACAGGATGGGGTCAGACACGGAATAAAGCACCCTCTAGTCTTTTAAAATGAAAGTAAAGCTCTCTCTACACTGTCCCACCAAATACTCCCAGGACAAGTACAACATGTGGCTAGATACAGGGTAAATCCACCCTCCCTTACTCTTTTAAACTAAAGCTCTCTCTACTGTTTTAAACTCAAAGATTCCTCCTCTTGCAAACTGAAAGTAAACCTGCTTCTTACCCCGACCCTACCAAACACTGAAAAGTGCAGCATGGGGTCGGATACAGAATATAGCTCCCTCTACCCTGTTCAAACTGAAGCTCTCTCTACTCTTCACCGTAGCAGAGTCTACAGCCCAGCTTTGGTCAATAGACTCGGAAGCCTTGCCGGGTGCTCATCCTCAAATCGAACACGCTGCCGACCGCAGAAACAGGCCATGGCAGAGCGAAGAGAGAGATGCGGACACTGCAAACGGGGGGCCAATTCTCAAAGAGGAGATTGCAATGCTCTCTCTCACACACACACACTTGAAGGTTTTATTTGTAGGGGTGGAAGCCAAGCTGCAAGAAGAGGCTGAGCTTCTTGCGGAGGGTCCCCGGTTCACACCTAGCCAGGGGGGAGAAAGTGCTGTGTAGCAGGGTCTTGGTGTCCCTTACCTCTGGCACTGAGCACTGCCCGATCTTGCTGCAACCAACGGGCGCACTGTTGCAGGTCGCCCCGGCTCAGCGCTTCAGAGAAAGCGGAGCTAGGGGCCACCCAGTGAGAAAGCGGCGCTGCAGGTAGCATTGAGAGTTCGAGTCCAACTCCAGAACCAGCTCCAAAGCTCCCGGAAAACAACAAAAAAAAATTAAATAAACTGCCACCTATTGGAGGGGAAAAATTACGTTTGCAGAATTTTAACCACAGCACAAAAATAAACAACCAGTCGGCAATAATTTTGTTTTGGGATAGAATAAGGGCTTCTAAAATAAAATAAAAATATCTTTTTTTAAAAATAATCCTATTGATCAGTGTTCAAAAATCTTCCCAATATTTCATAATGGATGGTTCTCAAATCAATGCTGTTATTATCTTCATGATTTTAATTAAAAAGATAAATAGATTAAATTTACAAAAAGTACAGTAAATGGAGTCCCATCTGCTCCAGAGGTGTGTAATAACCTCTCAACAGGCTGATTAGAAAAATAAGTTAATAATAAATAATTTAAAATAGTAAGTGGAATTTCCCCTCACTCAGGATCATGCTTTGGTGGCAGACACAGCAACAACTGCAATTACATGACACCTTTGATGCCGTAAAACACCCCAAGGTTCAATACATAGTAATGATATAAAACAAGACAAACAGAGATAGTAGGAACTGCTGATGCTGGAGAATCTGATATAACAAGGTGGAGAGCTGGATGAACACAGCAGGCGAAGCAGCATCAGAGGAGCAGGAAAGCTGATGTTTCGGGCCTGACCCTTCTTCAGAAAATGTCAGCCCAAAACGTCAGCCTTCCTGCTCCTCTGATGCTGCTTGGCCTGCTGTGTTCATCCAGTTCTTTACCTTGTTACCTCACAAAAAGACACTGGCCCAAAATCTGCATGAAATATGTCATTAAAAGGTCAGACCAATAGGACTGATTGATTGATTGATTTTATTGTCACATGTACTGAAATACAGTGAAAAGCTTTGTTTACGAGCGGTACAGGCAAATCACATCAAGGAAAGGATGTACAGATCAAAAAAACTTAAGAGGCATACAAGTTACATTGCAGGTTACATTATTTGTGGCTAGAGTCCATTCAACAGTCTTGTGTGTGTGTTCAGGCTTCTGTATCTTCTCAGAGATAGTAGGAACTGCCGATGCTGGAGTCTGAGATAACAACGTGTGGAGCTGGAGGAACACAGCAGGCCAGGCAGCATCAGAGGAGCAGGAAAGTTGACCTTTTGGGTCAGGACCCTTCTTCTGAAGGGCCTGCTGTGTTCATCCAGCTCCACACCTTGTTATCTTCTGTATTTTCTGCCTGATAGAAGAGGTTGGAGGAGATCGTTACCAGGGTGCGATGGGTCTTTGATGATGTTGGCCGCCTTTCCACAGCAGTGAGCCGTGTAAATAGAGTCCATGGATGAAAGGTTGGCTTCCATGATGGTCTGGGCTGTGCACACCACCTTCTGTAGTTTCTTACAGTCCTGGGCAGAGCAGTTGCCATACCAGGCTGTTATGCACCCAGACAGTATGCTTTCAATGGTGCATCTGTAGAAGTTGTGAGGGACCTTATGGACATGCCAAATTTCCTGAGCCAGCTGAGGAAGAAGAGGCGTTGTTGTGCCTTCTTGACTGTTGCATTTACGTGGGAAGTCCAGGACAGGTTGTTGGTTATCATCACTCCGAGGAACTTGATGCTCTTCATTCCCTCAATCTCAGTTCCGTTGATGTAGATGGGGGGTGGGGCGGGGATGTGGGGGTGCGTGTTCTCCATTTTTTCCTGAAGTCGATGATCATTAGAGAAAGATGACTGGTGGTTTAACCTGAGGGTCACCATACCTCAGGCGAGGGGAGAGGTTGAGAAGGCAGGACTTTCACAGTGACCTCAGCCAATGTGGGAATTGAACCCCATGCTGTTAGCTTCACACTGCATCACAAACCTGCCCTTTAAGCTAACTGACCCCCTCAAATGCTGTCACTGTGGAGTAAATGGGTCAGGAAATTCCAGAGTCAACATTGGTGCAGGTAAACATAGAAGGAAGTTGCTGTTGCATTTACCTAGCCACCACTACACCCATACCTCAACAATAGATTCCACCGTATGTAAATTGCATTGTTTCCTCAATTGTTGCCAACTATGCATGCTAGAAAACAATTAAGATTGGTGCATTCAAGTGCAAGTAAAACTTTAGACATCTGATCAGTCATAACTGCTGTAAACAAAGCCTCTGAGTCACAAAATTTAATTTTATAAGTGTGGAGCCTCATTTTGTCAGAGTTTAATTGTTGTTGGAGATTTTTAAAACATTACACTTACAATTTTGTTTTTGTGTTTGATTCCTTTATCTCCTCCCTTTCTTAATCCTACCTTTCTTTACAGATCTCTATTTTGCTTTGTGTACATTATTGTATTTTCCCTGTTTTATTTCAAAACTATACTTTATTCATAAAAATGTCTTTGTATACACACATAATCACAAACACAGTTCGGTTCTATACAGTAGCATATCAAGGAAACAAACAAACATTAGATTTTGACTCTATCCAAACAACCAAAGACATCTCTTATGCATACAAGACTACATTTATACGGATTTGAAGCATGAGGAGGGTCTGATAACTGAACAGAGCCCCATTTAATTTCAGCAGAAAGACCTCCGGTCATACAGTACTTAAACGTTGTTAAAAGGAGACACAAGGTCATAGCTTTCCATCTTGATCCCTAATTTGGTCATTGTTGGACCACTGTCTCATCAACTTTGACTTTGTGTCTCGTTTTAGCAACGTTTAGGCTCTGTACTATGAAATGATTATCCGAGACAAAGGATCTCAGTGTGAGGCATTTCCATGTATTGGAAGCTATGTATATTTACATACAGGACCCTATACTATGCAGGGAAAAGGAATTTGTGCATGCATTGTACCTTTTACTTTGAGGAAGGGGACATGCCAATACCTGTGACATTCCCCACAGCAACACCCTGAACAATTAGAGTATACTTCCTGATCTGAACTGGCCAGCTCACTAAGATTTCAGGTTTTTTTTCTGCTACATCCCCATGCTAACCCTGGTCTAACTAATCTGTAACCTCTTCACATGTATACATATAGGCATTCCTTTTCTAAAACTGTCATCTTGCGTGTCAGTTCTGGGGAGTGCAAGGCAAAAAGATTATAAGACCATAAGATATAGGAACAGAATTAATCCATTTGATTCATTGAGTCTGCTCTGCCATTCGATCATGGCTGGTTTGTTTCTCAACCCTATTCTCCTACCTTCTCCCTGTGACTCTTGATCTCCATACCAATCAAGAACCTATTTATCCCTGAGTTAAAGACACTCAATGACTTGACCTCCATAACCCTCTACAGAAATGAGTACCACAGATTCGCCATTGCCTGGCTGAAGAAATTCCTCCCCATCTCAGTTCTAAAGGATCATGCCTTCACTCTGAGGTCGTGCCCTGAGGTCCTAGTCTTTCCTATTAGTGGAAACATCTTGTCCGCTCTGTCGAGGCCTCTCAATATTCTGTAAGTTTCAATCAGAAACCCCCTCATCCTTCTAAACCTCATCAAGTACAGACCCAGAGTCATCAACTGCTCTTCATATGATAAGACTTTCATCCCTGGGATCATTCTTGTGAGCCTCATCTGGACTCCCTCCAAGGCCAGCACATCCTTCCTTAGATATGGGGCCCAAAACTGCTCACAATATTCCAAATGCAGTCTGACCAGAGTCTTACACAGCCTCAGCAGTGCATTTCTGCCCTTGTATTCTAGCCCACTCAAAATGAATGCTAACATTGCATTTGCCTTCCTAACAGCCAACTTAACCTGTGTGTTAACCTTAAGAGGATCCTGAACTAGGATTCCGAAAACCCATGGAGCTTCAAACTTCCAAAAACTTTCCCCATTTAGAAAATAGTCTATTCTTCTATTCTTCCTACCAAAGTGCACAACCACATTTTCCCACATTGTATTCCATCTGCCACATCTTTGTCCACTCCCCTAGCCTTTTGCAGCCTCCCCACTTCCTCAATACTATCTGTACCTTGTGTCATCTGCAAACACAGTATCAATGCCCTCAGTTCCTTCGTCCAGATTGTTAATGTGTGATGCGAATAATTGTGGTCCCAACACTGACCCCTGCTGAACTCCGATAGTCACCAGCTGCCATCCTGAAAAAGACCTCTTTAACACCATTCTTTGCCTTCTGCCAGCCAGCCAATTTTCTCTCCATGCCAATACCTTGCCCGAACACCATGGGCTCTTTTCTTGTTAAGCAACCTTCTGCACGGCTCCTTGTCAAAGGCCTTCTGGAAATCCAAATAAATCATATCCACTGGTTCTCCTTTATTTAACTTGCTTATTACCTCCCTTCAAAGAATTCTAACAGATTTGTCAGGCATGACATCACTTGACAAAACCTTGCTGACTCAGCTTTATTTACCATACAATTCCAAGTACTCTACAATCTCGTCATTAATAATGGACTCTAAAATCTTACCAACAACCGAGGTCAGGCTAACCAGTCTATAATTTCTTGCCTGAGACAACAAGGTGCAGAGCTGGATGAACACAG